GCATTTCTTCGTTTCACAATTGAAGATATTTCTTCTGTCCGTGTCGCTTACGTTCGCGAGTGTTCGCAAAAATTCTTTCCGACTATTCAAAAATAATATTTTGCCTTTTTCCGTTTTGGTTTGCTCGTACCCGGCGGTGGTGGTACCTTGGCATCCTACTGCGAACTTATCGAGGAAAAAGAAATCGTCGAACGCGACGAACGAACGAGCACATCAATTGGTCAGAAAATGCGCTGTGCATTTCTTCTCATTACATTTTTGCGTGTGTGAGTTTTTTTAAATTTGTATTACTTGTTAGAGGCTGGTACTGGCTTCTCAGCGTGTCTCTTTTATTTTTATGCGGATCTGTTTTCAAAAGACTCAGGTCCGAGAGGGTTATTGGGGGTGGGTGGGCGGGTGGAGGGGGTGCGATAGAGTGGGAATGATAAAAGTTGCTATCATTTATTTCTCTTCTCGTGGGCGTAAATGAAAAAAGCTTCTCCATTTGGTTTTTTCCTCTCGTGCACGTGTATATGCATTTCAATTGATTGGGGAAAAAGGTCTTCGGTATTTTCTTTCTTTCTTTCTTTCTTTCTCTCTCTCTCTCTCTCTTCAATGTTGGAAATGCAATTTTCGTTTCAGATAAAAGAGGGGCGTCAAATATTTTCCATTGCTTAAATTTCGAAATGTCGAACGGATAGTGTATAAAAATGCCCTTTTGATATCCGTGCATAATAAATAATACACAGAACTCGTGAGATTGCTCTCGCTCGCCAATTTTATATACTATGCTATGTAGAGGATATGGCGGCGTCCTCGACGGCGAAATTTCGGCTCATCGTCGTTATCTCCTTAATCCCTTGGCACTTTCATTTGCTTACCACCGCGTTTCCTTTAAAATTTTTTTTCTTTCTTTCTTTCTTTCTTTCATTTTTTTTTCTTTTTTTTTTTTTTAATACTCTCTCAGCTCTCACTTTACGTATCGTTTTATACCTCACTTACTTACCTTTCCCTCCTACCGTTCGCGTGTCCTTTTAAATATTTACGCTTGATAAATAATTTGACGGGCGGAGGCCGGGACGAAGGCGCGCACCAACGAACGGTCGACAATAACTTCTTTTAGTTAATAAAAAAAAAAAAAAGAAAAAAAAAAAGAAGAAAAAAAAAGAAGAAAAAAGAAGAAAGTAATTAAGAAAAAAAAAAAGAAAAAAAAAAGAAGAAAAAAAAGAACACTAATGGCTTGGCGTGGGACGCTCGTCTGCAGCCTCGCAACCCGCCACATAATCGAAATATATTAATTATATTATACAATTTTCATATCCGTCTGAGAAAAGCTCACTCGTACCCGCGGCGCTGCGTCACGAGCAGTGCAAAAAACTGCTCGATGAGCGCCGATTCCAACGTCTCGCAATCGCAATCACAAATGCACTCGCATACTTTTACAAATAATCTATATACTATACGTATATTATTTATAGTTTCACGAAAAAAAGAACACAATCACACGTTCTCGCACACTAATCCTACACGCAATCTCGCTGATAACGCACATATAGCACGCCCGGTCTATCCCTCTAATATCGTTAAAATTCATTAAGTTATTAAAAAACATCTAACAAAAAAATTGGAAAAAGAAAGATTCCACTCAGATCTTTCCAACAATGTATCAAAAATAAACTTATACTCTTAGCTCTTTGTTTCCCGTTTTTTTTTTTTTTTATTTTACTCCCATTCATTTCCTAACTCCTCTTTTACTACTTTATCATAGCTCTCTTTTTATCCTTTAATCCTCCGCGCCCTTTCGATTATATAAATATACACACAGTTCGGTGAGACAGGTAGAGCGGAAAGCGAGAAACGAGAGCGTGCTCGTAATACATCTCGTACTTTCCTTTTTTACTGCCTTAATTCTCCGTTTATCTTATCAACCGTTTTCCCCTATTTCCTTCCCGAGCATTCTACCTCGCCTCTCTTTTTGTCGGCGTAGTTTTATAATTTTATAAACTCTCGTCTATCTCATTCGTGACATTTTCTTTTCGTATTTTTTTTTTTGTCTTTTGTTTTTTTGTTTTTGTTTTGTTTTTGTACTAAATGCATTATGATGTCCCTGAGGTCAACGAGACTGTGGGCCCTTAGGAATAAAGGGACCCAGTCGTTTTGGGATAGCGGTATCGTGTTTCAGTGGAAGATTCAACAGACCGTGAACTCGCACGAAGACGATTTTATCGACGTCTCGGCGCCGCGAGTTTCCGTGATATCGACTCGACAATCATCGTCAGTATAAACTCCACGAGTTTATAAAAAAAAAAAAAAAATATATAATAATAATCATAATAATAATAATCATAATAATAATAATAATAATAATCATAATAATATTAATAATTAAAAAAAAAAAAAAAAAAAAAAAACAGCTCTAATCGGGCCAATAGTCAAGGAAACACTGTTAAAAGCTCGCGAGTGCATCTCTAAATTGGTCTTCGACGAACGACTTCGCGGCTTGTTGCGAGTTTGGTCAGTCCGATATTGGATTAAATGGTGATTGATTCGCCATCGAAAAAAAAATATAAAGTATTTTCGGTGCCGGTGTCCAAAATTTAGGGAGGCCTGTCTCATGTCCGCGCGTCGCAATCGTCGAAGATAAGCCCGTGTAATATTGATTTTAGGTTATGTTCGACGAGCTACGCGGGTCATCGGCGCACCACGTGTACTTTCGACTAATTTCAAGAGTTTGCTTTAATAACCCAATGTGTGTTATCGCATAATTCTGTAGAATCCTGAACTTTTTTTTGGTTTCTTTTTTTTTTTTTTTTTTTTGTTTCGATGAA